TGTCTTTTTGCAGGAGTATCTCTCACAGTTTTACGATGGCTGGCGGGATCTTATGGACAACAAATCAGATCCCCGCACCCGTGACTATCCGCTTATGAGTTCGCCGTTCCCAACGATAGCGATCAGCTTGGCATACGCATACTTCGTGAAGGTAAGTGCCGGGGGAAGCACCCGGCCCAAGCGTTCTCCAGCTATAATTACCGCGCTGATTGTTGGGGGGAAAAAACCCAAATGAACATGCAGCCAAAGATATGGCACTTAAGTCAGTCCGACGGCCCGTTCTAGTTGATTCTAGAGAAGCCGCATGCATTCACATTTGATGAGCGGGCATTGGCACGCGGATGCATTTTACAGCCGCCCAGTCGGGTCCTGCGTCATGCAAAACTAGTTTTCGTTTAAGGCGTTGATAAAAAAAAAACCAACAAAAAATGGGGGGGAAAAATGTAAAAAACATGTAAAACGATAAAATAAGTTCAGGGCCAAACGCCCCATTCAAAATCAAAGCCAATCAGCGCTAAACTAGCAAACTTGATGTCGAAATTGTGACCCAAGTGGGCCAAAATTACATATGCAAAAAAATAAGAGAAAAAAAAAACGTAAGGCGGAAAAAACAACCGAAACGATTTCTATTTAGGTTTCAGCTTTGCATTGCTTTACATTTTTATATACATATATGAATGTAATCATTTAAATGGCTCTCACACACACATACAAAAGACTTAGGCAACGAACTTGTCCCAAAATCAACCGACAGCCACCGCCGATTGATTTGATAATTGCAGCATCGCACCTTTGTTTGACTTTGTATATTAAAACGGGCAACATCAATTAAAAGCAGTACTTGCCACGCGGCCCCCCTCGAGGGGCATCTGCTGCGATGGCTGTGATTTGGCTGTGTTTTGGCCATTTGCATTTTGTGCCATTTTGAGCATATTTCAAGTTTAATTAGGACCGCAAACAACTTAGAATACGAATCTATATAGCTTAAGCCGGATCTTCGAAATCTGCTAAAAACAAGAAGCGCAACAAGATTTCATTATTTTTCCGGTTCCACTAGCCTCACATTAACATACCAATATAAACTTGTGTGCATAGCATTAATTTATATTTATTATTTATAGAAATTGCAGACGGCTTTGCTGCTTAAATATTTCTCAAGTTTCTAGAAGACTTCTAAGTTTAAGTCTAGACAGCAAATGGCAAATTTCATGGCGAAGCCAGATCAGATAATATGGCTAAATGGGCCTAAAGGACATAAGTAAACCTGAAGACCGAGTCCCGCCCAAAAAAATTGTACACAGAAATGTTGCTAATCCAATTAAAAACGTTTATGAAATACAATTTTCTTTGGGCAATTTAAAGAAAAATAAGAAATTAAGGATATGTTTGGCATGGCGAAGACTTAATATACTTGCAAACATTTGCCTTACACTGTTGCAGATATGTGAGCATAGCGAAGCTCATAAATGCTGAGTTTGATGAAAATATCTGGATAAATAGAATATTTTTTTCGACCGATCGTTCCTATTGCAACTTTATGATGCATATATATGAGGAGCAAAGTGAAACTAATGAATGCCGAGTTTGAAAAAAAAAGATAGAAAACTTCTTAACAAGAGCCCACTGTTGGACCGATCATACCTATGGAAGCTATATGATATAGTGGTCCGATGTAAATGATGAGTTTAGTTAAGCTGACTTGCAACAAGATCATTTTTTTAATTAATTTTATGAACTGCCTGTAACAGAGGGGTGGATAAAAATGCACCTAGTTCGCATAGAAACAGACGGAAGAACCGACAGATATAGCTACATCTCGTCTGTAGTTATGTCGGTTCCAGAATATATATACTTAATGGGGTTGGAGATGTCTCCTTCATGATAAAGTTATAGTTGTAAACTGCTTCGATTGTTATATTCGAATCGAAGCAGTTTACAGGCTGGCTTTAAATATCTATCTATCGATTGGTCTCGTCAACAGGTGCTTGGACCCAAGCTGATGGAGAACAGAAAACCCTTCGAGTTGCGCAAAGTTCTGATCATCTACAATGCAGCACAGGTTATATTCAGCGCGTGGCTGTTCTACGAAGTAAGTGCTTTAGCTCCGAACTAGCCCCAAAGGAGCACAATTTCATAATTAAAGAAAACAACATCAAAAAAAACACTTCACATTTATAGTCTTGCATAGGTGGATGGCTGAATGGCTACAACTTGAGATGCGAGCCGGTTGATTATTCCTATTCACCGCGAGCGATACGTGTGAGTATAATAAAGTGCTGTATATAGTTGTCTATATTTATGCAAATGGACGCATATGTAAGCGTTCGTCGAATTTATGATTTAGCAAATGTTTGTTCACTGTGCCAGATTTATATACTAGACATAATGGCAACCTGTTTTTGGCCTAAACAAAGAGCCGCAACGGCGACTGGTTCTTATGCTAATCAATTTGATGACAAATGTCCGCGCCTGCGCCAATGCCGGCCGGCTACACCGAACGTTTTGCCCAGATTGAAGTCTCACGTGTCGGCAAAAGAAAGTGCCAAAAAAAAAGGCAAAAAAGAGCTTAGAAAGCCAAAAGAAATTCGCATAACACAAGCAAAGAGAACAACAACTACAAAAATACAGCACAGAGTGCACGAACTTTTCACTATTTCTAAACACAAGTATATCTATTTCTCTTGACAGACTGCATGGGGCTGCTGGTGGTATTACTTCTCCAAGTTTACCGAGTTCTTTGACACGTTCTTCTTTGTGATGCGCAAACGGTACGATCAGGTGTCCACGCTGCATGTGATCCATCATGGCATTATGCCCGTCTCCGTTTGGTGGGGCGTCAAGTTTACGCCCGGCGGTCATTCGACATTCTTTGGATTCCTCAACACATTCGTGCACATCTTCATGTATGCGTACTATATGCTGGCCGCGATGGGACCGCGGGTGCAGCGTTATCTCTGGTGGAAGAAATATCTGACGGTGTTGCAGATGATTCAGTTTGTCCTGGTCATGGTGCACTCGTTCCAGCTGTTCTTCAAGAACGATTGCAACTATCCCATTGGCTTTGCCTACTTCATTGGCGCACATGCGGTCATGTTCTACTTCCTGTTCTCCAACTTCTACAAGCGCGCCTATGTGCGGCCCGATGGCAAGGTATACATCTATAACTATATCTTTTTATATATGTATACATATGTATAGTACACGAGGTTTTAGCAGTTGTCTAATCGATTCGTTTCGTTTGCCTGTTGCAGGACAAATCCGCTGTCAAGGCTAATGGCCATGCCAATGGCGCCGTGAAGCAGCACAAGGATGGGGATGGGGATGCTACGCCCCCCCGTAATGGCCATGCGAATGGCACTGTCAATCGATTCCACAATACCTTCTCCAAGTTCACGACCGAGATGTGCAATCCGGCGCTCAACTCGTCCACGACGCGACAACGCGTCCTGATCAATGCGGGCAACAAATGAAGCCGTCGCTAGCCAATCAGCCAGCCAGCCAACCAAGAAACAAAGCATAAATTAATTATATGTAACAATTAAATTACCGTAACTTTAAATTAAGCATAAGCATAGGGAGTCCAAGCGTAGTTCTAAGCCAAATCGACAACGAAATTTATATTGAAACAGAAAACAAAAAACAAAAACAAAAATAAATTCAAGAAAAAAAAAGAAGCAAAACGTCATAGAAATCCAATTTGTAGCAATTGCACGTATAGGCCAATCAATGATATTTGCATTAATCTATCTATATATCTATATATATATATAGCTATACATATATACCTGCATCTATTTATATAGGTAGCTGCTCTTGTTAGCCGCTTTCACATCTGAAAGAAAAGCTAACTACATTTACAATTTGATAAGTATAGAATTTTTATGTATATTGTATTATATATAGTTGGATGATTTGTCATCGTTATCGATATCTTGCTATCAGCTTTATATATATGTACGTACCTAAATATTATTTCATATTTCACGCTTTTACTGTTTTATTTTTTTACATATTTTTTTCTCGGTTATGCAAGCAACAAAAGTTTTTATACGTGTTTATTTCGTTGGATCGTTTTGATCAACAGAAATGGGTTTTTTATTTTATAAATAAAATCGAGATTGAAAGAAGCAGAGTGGTTTACGGTACTGTTGGATTTGTTGCCGATCCCAAAAACTGTAATCGATTCGACATGTGTTTTTCTTGTTAAATGGACTTTTGTGGTAAATAGCTTTGCAGTTCTGAAAGTTTCTGCTTAAGATAATATGTCGTTAATTAAGATGCCTGCCTGAGTACAGCACCCATTGGAGTCATATTGAAATTAAAGGGGCCCAGGTACACGTGTCACGATGATTAAGCACATGCCAGCATAAATAAACACTTTAAAGACATAAAGTAACTGACTAGGCACATTTAATTGCATGAATTTGTGCATAACGAAGTCCATGATTTGCTACAAAAGTATCAATGCTTTAAGCTAGCTTTTGTTGCTTAGCCTAACCAGCTGTCAGCACAAACTCCTTCAATATAAAAATATAAATTTTATTTTCTAATTTCAATTCCACAGCTCCAAAGCCGTTACAATGTGTATCTGATCTTTCGTACAGTTAATTTTAGTATTTTTCAGAATGGATATTACCATATTAATTCAATTGCACAGTACGGTCACTCCATTGTTATAGTAGGAGTTGCCACATCACTGAAAACAGTTGACGCTATAGTGTATGGTCGGATGCGCTCTCTTTATCAAAATACTCAACATGATAAAAATAAATGTTCAGGGGCACATAGGGCGCTCTCTTAATACGAAAAAGCATGCAAGAGTGACGTCAAAAGCGCGTCATGTACAATGTTTGCGCTCAAATAAAATTAAATAAAATAAGACACGAGTTAAAATAAGTACGAATTATTTTTTATTTTTTTATCTTCAAATGCTATCTAGAAAGTTATGAGCTAATAAAGTGCAAAACGCAGATTACTTTTGCGCTACCTTGTCAATATATGACCGCATGCATTCTCTGGCTTTTGTCGTTTTTCTTTTGGGTTTATTGTTTTTGTTGTCCGCTTAGTTTCATTTTAGACTTCCTTGTGCATGGTTGTTGCCGTTGTTGCTGCGATTTTTGTTCGGATATAATTTTGTTTAATTCGATTCCTGTGCGTGGGGGTACGTGTATTTTAATTAATAGTAAAAATATAACATTCGTTGTCATTATCAAGCATCAAGTCAAGTAACGGCAAAATTACCGCAGTGTTAAATAAACGCGTAACGTTTTCTAAATTATTTAACGCGCGACGATCAGTTTGATATTGTGTGAGTGTGTGTGTGATATTCTTGAAATTTAAGCAAAATTCCAACGCTGCACGCTCGCTAAGTTCGCCGGCCTTAAATCATTGGCGGTAAGTTCGCATCGATTTTCTGTTAGCAACTTGTTGTGCACTCACAGAATATGCGTACAGTGGAGAAAATTAGTCATCAGAGTAGTTGCTGCGTGGTTTTAATTAAAAAAAAAAAAAAAAAATACAAAAAAAAACGGTCTCCTGTTTCCCGCCGCGCCCAGCAACGCGCCGTAAGAGTGGCAAACAGGAAAGCAACAGCCAAGTTAAGAGAGGAAGAGAGTGCACGTGCATGGGGCGCATAATTCGCTCTTTACATGTGTGTGTGCGTGTGTGTGTGAGTGCGCTAGAATGAGAGGGAGAGCACGTTAGCACGTCAGGTCGAACGTGTGCGGCCTGCCCTTTAAGAGGGGGAGATTGAGGTGCGTTAATAACTGTTAATTGCTGTTCAGACCCGCATGAAATAAATCCACTGCCCACAGCTAAAAAGGCAGTAGCCCTTGGGAATACCAATGAACGTTTCCTTAACAACAATATACAATATGCAAATGCGGTTTTTGACACCGCTAAAATGGTGCTGTCAATTGCTTGGCACACATTCAGTTATGTCAATTCACATTTGTTGCATCATGCGCCTCTCCCCCAGTCAACGTCAAACTGTCAAGTACGAGTGCGAGCGCGCGCCTGCGCAGCCCTGCGGTTGCATTTTTGTTTTTGTCGATCAAAAAAGTTTCACCTGTCAGCAATGCGGAAATTGTTGGCAATCGACAGTCGCCAGTCGCCAGTTGCCAGTCGATAATCGAAATCGCAATCGCAATCGAGTTCATGCAATGCAGAAGGTCAGCCAGTTAATGCGCCAAAGAGTGGAGCGAATGAAAGCTTGGGTTTTTTTTTTTCTTTTTTAACCAGATCTTTCGCAAGTGCGTTGTGCCATCGCATTACAACATTGTCTGGAAAAAATGTCTCATTAGCAAACTGAATGTGAAAAACAAAAACTATAAATATAAAAAAAGTGCAGTATGCTAATTGAATTCTTAAAATCTTGCGCATCTTAACCGAATAGTTTAACACTTGTAAATTGTAAAATAAACAAATTAAAAAAAATTAACGCTAAAACCGTTTGCTTAAAGTCAACAAATACCAAATCAAAAGTCCTAAGGTTCAAGTTCGCGCATATACATACATACATATAAACATACATATGTATATGTATCTATTTTTTTTTCTGTCTGTCGATGAGATGTGCCGCACTTTTGCATGAGAGCAGTCGGTGCACTCGCTGCCAATTGGGAGAGCGTTCAAAATATCGTATCATATAGAAATTTCATTTTAGCACCGCAGCGTCCAAAGTCCAAGCCAACTGGCTGCCGAATCGGCCATTCAAATGTGTATGTATGCGACCGAGCGTGCGTCTGTGCATATGTGTGTGTGTGTGTGTGTGTGTGTGTGTCTTGGCGTGGCCTGGTCTGATGATGTTTGATGCCAACGTACGCGTAAATGTATGTAAATATATCGCTTATATGTAGGTCTGAGCATCTCATGCTTGATAAGCACTCTTTGGCATTGCCTTAGCTATTGGCTTGGAATTCTTTCAACCGGTTTACCCACAAGAAATGTAAAGAGAGCTTTGAGTAAAAACAGCACGAAGACACAATTCCCTGTTATTGGGCTTGAAGCTTTTTCTGCCCTTGAAGCGGTTATTCGAATTTTGTTGTTACGAAATGCGTAACAAATTAAAGGTGTCATTGTCAACTCCATGAGGTAAATATGAACATATATTAAGAGTTAAAACAAGTTTCTCAGTTTTAAAACATTGCTTCAACTTATTGTCGAAGGGAGTAAACATGTCCAAGTTGACCGAATCGGAGCTTTCTATAGGGACTATTGTTAAAAACCTGAGGTTTTCGATGAAAAACTAACTATCAAAAACTGAGTAAATTCCTCTATATTTATTTTGTATGCTCGTAATAAATAAGTTGAATTATCGCAGTTGAATTATTGAAGTTTTAGTATTGTATTATTGTATTCATTTCCAAGATAAATACATAAATATTTGTACCAATCTCCAATTAGTGATTTTGATTGTTTTACCAATATTGGAATCTCCTAACATACCTTTATCGGATTGAATGAACGTCGTTTTCTAGCCAACTACATGTTAAAAAATATCGCATATTTGCTGAGTATCTACAAGAATATGTAATTTCAGGTGTTTACAAAATTTGTTTATCTGTTTTCTTTATGAATTTCCAAGATCGCCAGCAAAACTATATATATATAAACCAAGCAATTTAAAATGAACCAAAAACTCTTTGAAATACTTAAAAAAAACTAGACCCTTTAGAGTTCAACTGAGCAATATAGCTCAAATTTTGGTCTCTCTTCTAATGCTGATCAGGAAAACATGAATTTGTCATGCCCCTTTTCTATATATTTTTCGAGGGTATTCAAAAGTGATTTATATTGAAATCGATCCGATTCCATGCTGGTTGCTGCGGCACGTCTTTACAGTTATTGTGTTTGACCACAAACATTTGAATAAGGCGAAGAGAACAACAGCGCCGACATCTCGACCACCTGTTGCTCGACTGTGAATACAAAAGATGCCGTTATACATATGTGGCTGCCACAGCACTTGGGAGTTTTCGGTGTTGCCACCCGGTTGCCGATATGCGGCAAGCACAACTTTTGACCTAATATGGCTTGGACATTTGGCTGTCAACAAATTTGCATAATATTTTGGAGATCAATAGTAAAAAGGTTCTTTTCCGCAATATGTAAAATTAAAGTTTTGCCCTTTATAGATTTTATGTGTATTTCATTTTTATGCTTTTGTTATGTTAAGTTTTGCAAATCTTAAGTGAACTTTGATCAATTTGGCTGTAACGTTTTGGCCATCTGTAAACTGGTTAATAGGCGAACCATCTGGAAGCTGTTGCATTTCGTTTTGCAGTGTTTGGTTAGGCTTTGATTTAAGTTTAAATCGCGTTGACTCAATTCAAAAATGTTCGCACAATAATTTGTTGGCCTTCGTTTTGGCTTGTCATTAATTATGTATTCACTGTGTCTTCAGCATAACCTAGTCTGGCTTTATTTATAATTTTTTGGCACAACTTTGTCTGGTTTTTTGGCATTATGCAATACTCCAGCTGGAAGTTTCTTTTTCTCTTTGCTTTATCTTAGAATGCCGCAGGGGCGACAACATCAATATTGGGCCAAGAGGCAGACTTTGAATCAGTTAATCATTATTATACATGTAGTATGTGTGCATGTACAGTGAATGCTCTACTAACGAACAGCCAACTTGTGCTTTGGCAGGCCAATTTTATTTCATCCCAATCTTTTGCTCATTTCAAAAAGTACACTTGCGCAGGCTATCTGTTGAACGACTTTTCCAAAGAAAAATATAACAATTAAAATAATCGATAATTTGTTTTGCTTTTCAATAAAAATTTAAATGTTTTTAACATTTTTTTTTTTAATTTTTTAACAAGTTTTGAATAATAATGTCTTGATACTTAATATTTATAAAACAGAAAGTATATTTTGCTGTTTATATGTTATTTCTTGGACATATCTTTAATGTTGACATAGCTCTAAAGCTATATTTAAAAGGATTGAGCTCTCAGCTGAGATTCTTAGTCGAGCCTGAGTGCCAAAGAACTCAGCTAAGCAGCTCAGATTAGTTTTGAAACAGAGAAACTCAATTGAACCAGAAAAGAAGGTCTAAGCGAATAAATATATACATATTTGCTCGCGCAATGCCTTTAAAAAATCGAATATAAGGAACAAATAGAACAGGTTCTGCTTCTACTGGGCTTTCATCTGAAAAAGACGCGCATTGTTTGCGTACGCTCAAGTGAGCTTTCACTGTACTTTGGCTGCATGTGCAAGTGCTGCATAATTTCAATATTGTAAACAAGTGAAACTTTTCAGTTAAATTGCATTTTGATCGCTTTTATAAAAGGACTGCTCGCATCTTCGGCTCTAACTGGTAGCTGAGTATCAGGTTCGGGCCGTATTACTTGCGCTTTCGTTACAACATCAGTCAACCTACAAAAAACAGAGAAGCTGAAGAAGAAGCTGAAGAAAAAACAACAACAAAATCAACAACAACAACGATGAAATAAATAAAAGCTCGCTGCTGGCCTGGCTGGGCGAATCGATCGAACGATCGGCCTTTATTTAACTTTTGAAACGCTGGAATGCCAAGTATTCGAGTACATTTTGGCTGTAACGTCTTTTGTGGCCGCCTCAACTGGCCTAAAGTCGCCCAAGCGTCACGCACTTGAGCTCTTTTTGGGCGTTGGGCTACATTTGGCCTGTTTAGCTGTGTCTGTGCTTTTTTTTTGCGCTTACTCTGCGGCCTCTTTCTGGCACGAGAGTTGGGCGAAATAATTACAAAATTATTGGGTGAATCGCTGCAATAAACAATACGACTTTTTTTTTTTTTCGTTTTTTGCTCTTGCCAGCTGATGCCAATAAAGTTTATTACTAGCGTTTATTTCTGAACTTAAACTTTTTGTTTTTGAGCGTCTTTCAGTTTATTAGCGGGTATCCACTTTACATATTTCATCAAGAGTTTTGTTATTTATTACATTTATACAGAATTAATTTGGCCTAAAGTTTAAATTAAATAAAGTCTTTAATGAAGGATAATAAATGCCACCGAACTTTGGTCGATTATTCATTTTTCATTCCATTTATTCAATTAACCTAGATATTAATTTAAATTTTCGCTGATATATGTTGTTAAGCGATAACAACATTGACATTTATATATTTTAGCGATAAAACTATATTGTTTATTTAATTTATAGTATATTGTCAATCGTATTGACAATGCGCATTTAGGGCTTATTGGGCTAAAGTCAGATGACAATGCTATGGGCACGCTTTCCTTAAACAATTACAATAGTTGTCGTTTCTATTAAAGCGTAGCAAAGCACTTAAATTGAGTTGGCTCAAACTCTAAAGCTCAAGTTCTCAAATGTAGTTAAGAAAGTAAACTACTGTGTCAGACATTTGAACTATGCATTTATTTAAAAACTTTTCCGACCTTA